TTCTCGCTGCTATATAGTATTCCATGGGTGAATATATGATGTCCATTTGTGCATCCCACTGTTAACCGTCATGTTAGTTTTTTTTTTTTTTTAGATTTATTTTTATGTATTTGAAAGACAGAGTTACAGAGAGAGGTAGACACAGAGAGAGAGAGGTCTTCCATCTGCTGGTTCACTCCTCAGATGGCCGCAACGGCTGGAGCTGCGCCAATCTGAAGCCAGGAGCCAGGAGCCTCCTCCAGGTCTCCCACACGGGTTCAGGGGCCCAAGGTCTTAGGCCATCTTCTACTGCTTTTCCAGGCCATAGCAGAGAGCTGGATTGGAAGAGGGGCAGCCGGGACTCGAACCGGTACCCATATGAGATGCTGGCGCTTCAGGCCAGGGCTTTAACCTGCTGTGTCACAATGCCAGCCCTGTTAGTTGTTTCTACAGTCATGTTAGTTGTTATGGCTACTACAAATAGCACTGCTGTGGAGAGCCTGGATCCAATGTTACTCTTGGGTGCTGGGAATGGAACTTCTGTGTTTCATGGTGTATGAGTGTTCATCTTCTGGATGCCTTTTTTGAAAAAAAGATTTATTTTTTATTTGTTTGAAAGGCATAGTTACAGAGAGGGGGAGGGAGATATCTTCCATCCGCTGGTTCACTTCCCAAATGGCCACATCGACCAGGGCTGGGTGGACCGAAGCCAGGAGCCAGGAACTTCATCCGGGTCTCCTGATGCCTTTGAAGGAACTTTGGTAGTGATGGAACCAGACACCATCATGTTGACACACAGCCAGTAGATAGGTTTTCCATTCTATGCTTAGATTCACTGCTAATAAGACTCAGGACTTCTAAAATTGGTCAGCCCAACATCTTTTCTAACCCAGCCTCTCCTCTGATGAGCACACGCTACAAAGGGACACACAACCCTCCACACAGACAAACGTACGAGATCCTGCTGATGAGAAAAGCCACGTGGCATTGCACTTCTGTGGCCCAGCTACTAGGAGCCTGCAGAAGTTCTGGGGGGCTCTGGATAATATCCACTGCTCTGTGATCCACTTCACAGCCAGAGTTAGGAAATGAATCTGTCAATAGATAGCTCATCTGAACACTCCTAAATTTTAAGCACCTTCTAACTTGTCATGCTCAATAAAAATAACCAAGAAGGTTAAGAGGCAAAAACCCTAACTAATAGAATTTTTTTTTTTGACAGGCAGAGTGGACAGTGAGAGAGAGAGACAGAGAGAAAGGTCTTCCTTTGCCCTTGGTTCACCCTCCAATGGCTGCCACGGCCGGCACACCGCGCTGATCTGATGGCAGGAGCCAGGTGCTTCTCCTGGTCTCCCATGGGGTGCAGGGCCCAAGGACTTGGGCCATCCTCCACTGCACTCCCGGGCCACAGCAGAGAGCTTGCCTGGAAGAGGGGCAACCGGGACAGAATCCGGCGCCCCGACCGGGACTAGAACCCGCTGTGCCGGTGCCGCAAGGTGGAGGATTAGCCTAGTGAGCTGCGGCGCCGGCAGAATTTTGTTATATTTAGAAATTTGCCTTTTAAGAAGGTTTTGGAGAAACACGGAAATTTCTCCAAAGTAAGCACGTATCAAAGGCTATTTGCAAAAGGAGGTTCGGAATGTCAGTGTATGGTTTTAGAGAAATGGGTGGAGCCATGAGAACAGCATTTCTCAAGGTGGTCTACAGAGTAGCATCACATCACTTTGGAGGTGTTTCAAAAACTAAAAGTTAATTTTAACTTTAAATTCATTAAAATTGTAAAAGTACTGTGGCCCCAGAAGCAGAACACCTGAAAACTTGCATTTTAAATAGCTCATGAGTAGGTGGGAGATTCCCAGCACTGACTCCATGCCTGCTTCATCGCTAAAGTGAGATTCCCAGCACTGACTCCAAGCCTGCATTGCCTTATTCACTGCACTTGGGTGTCCATGCTTTGTGGGGCCATGCTCTGGAGGGAGAAAATGATCCTACTGTTCACCCACAAGCCCTTTTGCTGGTTCTGGGTCAAGTTCCAATTTTTTATTTGCAAAACTCTTTACATCCTAGCCTCAAGTGGACCCTGCTTCTTTTCTGCGACATCATCGCTGCATTAAACTGGCCACACAATTTGGCCTCTGTTGGGGGATGGCGCCCTCTTCTTGCCCCTCCTTGTTTGCGACATCCCTTTGTGGCTTGCTGCATGTCACTCTGAACCCTGCCTGAAAACCTTCTTTGTCCTCCTCAGCCGTCGGCTTCAGAAGTGGCGGTGTTGTGTTGAGGCAGGGTTTGGGATGCCATATAGAATAAAGCTACAATTGTATTAAGAACCAGAAGAGGATAAGCAGCTAACACAAACATAAAGAAGGCCTAAGCACACGCAGTGCCAGGGGACAGATGAGAGAAGACTTAGTTGAGACTGCTTTGTTTCTGGGGTCTGGCTGCTTATATACAGCCCTGATGAGCTTGCCTGTGTGGTTTACAGGATTCTAGCTTGGCGAACTTATCAGATTCTGGGGCCAGCCTAAGTGCCCAATATTCCCAGGGGATGGGGAAGGTCCTGTGCCGCGTTCTTGGGTTGGGGTGGCATTAGGGATCTGCCCTAGCCTCCGCCTACATCTAAGATCTCAGCACCCAGCCCTAGACATCCAAACTTCCCTCCACAAATCCCAACAAACACCCCAGCCATCTACCTCCACATAGAACCTTCGTGTTTCTTCCTCACCACCACTTTGCTTTTAGAAGTGTAGTCAGATGCCCTGGGACACTTAATGCTATTTTAGTTACCATTTCCCACCGCAAGGAACACTGAACTGCAACAGGAAATGGTGGAGATGAACTGGCAAGCCAGGGCTAAATTTGAGTGGTGGAAACTTTCTACCAAAATATTTTCCATAGAAGTTCACTTTCTTGGGTTTTGGTCACTGTGGCCAGCTGCCATTGACCAACCAGGAAACTGGAAAATAAAACTCAGGTTTGTTTTTGTTTTGGGGAGCATAGAAAGGCGATACTCTGACCTCAAGTGAGCAGAGTTTGGAGTGCAGCATATCTAATTATGAAAACCCTTTGGTTATTACTTCATAATAAGAGTAGTGGAGGATGTTTGATGGGGAAAGGAGCGACATTCAGCAAACACTGACCCCACACCGGCATTCTGCTAGGCACACGACATGGAGAGTGCTATTTCTCTCTCGCAGCCACCTCTCAGAAAGTATTACTACCTGCTCTCCATCAGAGGTTGGGAAACAGGTTTGTTGAGGTGAACTTGCTCATGGTCACTTTAGCGATGAAGCAGGAATTCAAATATAGGTCTCTCTGCCCCCTCCCTTTTTTTCTGGTGTCTTGAGGAGAAAGGTGTGTGCATTTTTTTAAAATGTAAGATTTATCGAGCCGGCGCCGTGGCTCAATAGGCTAATCCTCCACCTTGCAGCGCCGGCACACCGGGTTCTAGTCCCGGTTGGGGCGCCGGATTCTGTCCCGGTTGCCCCTCTTCCAGGCCAGCTCTCTGCTATGCCAGGGAGTGCAGTGGAGGATGGCCCAGGTGCTTGGGCCCTGCACCCCATGGGAGACCAGGAAAAGCACCTGGCTCCTGGCTCCTGCCATCGGATCAGCACGGTGCGCCGGCTGCAGCGGCGGCCATTGGAGGGTGAACCAACGGCAAAGGAAGACCTTTCTCTCTCTGTCTCTCTCTCTCACTGTCCACTCTGCCTGTCAAAAAAAAAAAAAGATTTAAAAAAAAATGTAAGATTTATCTTATTTGAAAGGCAGAATAACAGAGAATGAGAGAGAGAGAGATAGGGAGGGAGAGATCTTTCATCAGCTAGTGCACTCCCCAAATGGCTGCAAAAGTGATGGTGGTTGGAACTTCATCTGGGTCTCCCACGTGGGTGGGTGGCAGGGGCTCAATACTTGAGCCATCACCTGCTGCCTCCCACGGTGCACATTAGCAGGATGTCGGGACTGGAACCCAGGCACTCCGACGTGGGCTATGGGCAACCCAACCAGTGTCTTAACCACTAGGCCAGATGCCTGCCTGGTGCTGTATATTTTAGTGCTAATTCAGTGGTGGTTTGTAAACTGCCCCGGAATCTAAAAGCTCTGACAGTTTTACCCAGCTCCAAGAGGCCCAGATGCCAGCATGCCTGTGAGCCAGATGCAGCACTTAACATTGTTCCCAGCACCTTCTTTTCCCAGCCATGGCAGACCACGTGGGAGACATAAACCAACACAGTTTGAAGGCTACAGGTCCAACTGCCTGAAGCAGACCGGGAGAGATCCAGGGAGGTCTTTGAAGCTCAGTGAGTGACTGTATATTGGGTCAGTTTCTACTTTGTCTGCAGAGACAAAGTGAGGTGGCAGAAGGAGGTGAACGTACTACACCCCAAAGAGCTGGAAGTAATGCCCGGACATCCTCCACCAGGCCAGCAAGTAAAGCTGATTAAGCAGCTCAGCCAAAGGCCTGGGAAGGAAGCAGAACAAACAACTTGAGCTTAGCAGTCTAAGTCTAGGAGTCATAAGTCATCGGTAGCCTTTTCTCCTTTCTCGTTCTTTATTGATGCGGATCTTTACAGCGGAGGAAGCAAGGTGGCCTGGGGGCGTTCCCCGGCTCCTTTGACCCTCATGACCCTTGAGCCTTCTATCTTGGGTCCCTTCTGCACGTGCAACAGGGGCCAGGACACCTCCACTCCCGGGCCCACCAAGCCCTGGGCCCCAGGCGTGGCTGCCGCGGGCGAAATGGAACAGGATCCTTCCACCGGGGATTTCCGTTAAACATTTGCCCTGGGGGCTTCGCTCAGCCTGCACCGAGCCAGCCTCCCAGCCGGGCGAGCTGGACGCCCGGAGGTCCGCGGCCCGGGGCCCAGCGCGCACTTCCTGCCGGGCGCCGGGCGGGGGCGGAGCCGCGCGTCTCCCCGCCCCCTCCCGGGCGGCTGAGACGCCAGGGGGCGGGGCCGCGAGCGGGTGGTGGGCGGCGTGGCGGGGTGGGCCGGGCGCTGGGGCCAAGGTGCCGGCGGACCCGCGGCGGGCGCGGGCGCGAGCGCGGAGCGGGGGCGCGCGGCGCGCAGCGGCCCAGCAGCCTGGCAGCCCAGCCCCGCGCGGGCAGAGGCGAGCGGCGGGCAGCGGCTGCCAGCCCCAGCAGTGCAGGGCCTCCGACCGAGCGGCGGCTGAGCGGGGCCTCGGCCCCGGGGCGCGCGGGGAGCTGTCGGCGCGTCCCAAACGGCGCTTGCCATGGCGGGCGGGCCCCCCAAGGCCCTGCCGTCCACGGGGCCCCAATCCCTGCGAGACGTGCAGCACCCGCTGGCCGGCTCCAGCAGCGAGGAGGCCATGGGCGGCGACAGCACGCCCAGCCCGGACCTGCTGATGGCCCGCAGCTTCGGTGACAAGGTGGGGCTCACGGGGCTGGGGACCGTCCGGGGCAGGGGGGTGGGGGCAGAGATGATGGATCCGCAGCCACCTTGGGCACGGGGTCGCGCCCAGCGTGGCGCGCCCCTTTCCGGAGGACGGGCGTACGCTCGCCCCCGGAGCGCCCGGGTAAAGCATCTTTGTCGCCCCCCGTGGGGTCGCGGTCGCAGGCGAGGGGGGAGCGGCCGGAGAGGACGCTGCCGTGGCTGAGTCGGGGCGCGAGCGCCGGTGACAGCTGCTGGGGAGGGGTCCAGCCTGCGCGTGGGGGCGGAGACGTGTGTGCGTTGCGGGGCGCGCGTCCTGGGTGGGAGCCGAGCTGCCGAGGGACTTGGGGCGCCTCCAGTTCCCCGACTCCGCGGCTGTGTGCCTGCGGGAGCCTCCTCCTGCCCGGTGGGTAGTGTGTGGAGTGATCTTTGTTTAGTTTGCTGTTTGCCCTGGCGGTCACCTGACCCAGACCCGGCTGGCGAGGCTGTCTGTGGTTTTCCGTCTGGGGCTCCCTTGGTCTCCGACGGCCTACGCCTACCGCACAATTTAGGTTTGGCCGGGGCAGGTTTTGTGGTTGAGGGAAAGAAAGCTCGCCCTTTGACCTTCTTTGTGCACGGGGAGGCCCCTGATGGTCTCAGCACCGCACAGCTGCCCTGCTGCTTTGAGGGGCAAAGGGCAAGGGGCGGCATCTCCCTGCCCCCCCTTGCCAGTTCAGCGATTGTGTCGGGGCTGCTGCTGCTCCTAAGTCAGCCTGGTCCCCAGCACTTCCGCGTCCTGGCCGAATTCTCAGTGAATTCCTCCTTGTCCAGTGTTCCTAGGATCAAGGGAGCTGTGACTTCGTTCTCTCCTGAGATGTAAAGGTGTGTGATACGGCAAAAACGAGTCTGAGAAAATAAAACCCGATAGCCTTACAGCCCCAAGGGCTCTGGGCGCTCAGACTAACTTGCGAGTGGCTTCCCAGAGGGTTTGTGAAAGCAAAGAATTAAGAACAAGAAAACTCAAAAGGCACGTGAAACTGTTGGCTTGAGCAACTCAAGGAGTGTGTGTGTGTGTGTGTGTGTGTGTGTGGCTATTACTCTTTATAGAAGATTATAGGCTACCATATGAAGGCTTATGTTGGTTGGAAGTGTCTTGCTCCTAGCTGATGTTCAAAAAGTTAATTGTTGAATGACTTGAATCATTGGTTGCTTTCCTATGGACAGAGAAACTGGTCTTACATGAGTGTAGGATGGGAAGTGGAGTGAAATCTTCTGATTTTCTGTTCTGTGTAGGGTGGTGTGTTGATGATCCATTGCTGTGTGCTGAGTTACTCTGCAGCTTAGCACCGGAAAAGAGCACCTGCGGGTCAGACAGCTGGGCGCAGGTTCCCCAGACTCAGGGCGCCCCGGTGGCTGTAGTCATTTGGGCTGGACTGGAGGAGGATCTTCTTCCAAGCTCCCTGGTGGCTCTTGGCAGGCCTTACTCTCCATAGGGCTGTTCCACTTGGCAGCTGATTTCCCCCAGAGTGATCCAAGAGAGCCCAAGACTCCAACCAGTCTTGTATAACCTAGCCTTGGAAGGGGGTACCTCTGCCGTGTCTTGTCCGTCACACAGACCAGTGCTGGTGCCATGGGGAAGAGTGTGAATACTTGGACTTGACTGCCAGGGGTTGGGGATCACGGGGCCGTGGTGGAGGCTGCCATACGGTTGGCTGTTTTACACATTCGCTTGATGCCGTGCTGTTGGATGACACCTGACTCGAAGGACGGACATTTAATTGCTTAGAGACAAACGCCCCGTACCACCAAAATCTGGTTGGTCCGTGGGAAGTGAGGCCCATTCTGTATCCTGATACTTTCCTTTGCAGGATCAGTTCTGGGAGAGACGCTCTTGTAGGCATTATTATTAATTACTGAATATTTAATAAGGCTCCTAATAGCTATGGAGAGTGTCTTGTAGACACCGGTCTCAGAGGTCTGATTTATAGCAAGCCACTTTCCCTTAGGGGCAAGCATGGTAATTTCTTTCTCTGAGGGGAGTAACATTTTCCTTGAGTTTTGGCATGCACATGCGCTCTTGCGACTCTGGAGCAACGCCTGTGGAGAGAAGCTAGCGCGCTCCAGAGGTGACTCACAGCGGTGGAAGGAAGTGCTGTACGCCTGGCTTTCTCTTTCCTAGGGAGTGTGGGGTCCTCAGGGGGCCGGTCGGAAAGTCATTGTCGGTCTTCGGAAAAAAGCCTTGTTGGACTTTGGGGGTTTGTGATCCTGGATGACTGGCTTTCAGTGTCAATTCAGTTCTGGGAGAGCATGAGTATCTTTATCCAAAGGCTGCTCATGGGTTGGGATGGTTACGCGGAGGGAATTGCTTTCTGTGGCCTGGGATGGTGCCATGAACAGGGTGGCCCTGCGTATTGATTTGGCTGACACCCCGGTTGGCCTTCGTGGTGCTTGGGTAGGAGAGAAAGACCGCATGTGATGGACTTTCCGCCGGCCAGCTTCTCAAGTCATTCAAATCCTCGTGTGACGGGAGGAATGCTTTTTATCTGCCAAGTGTTGCCAAGACTGATTCTTTGATGCCAGCTAACTCACCAGGCCGTCTATCACTGCATCTTCCCCCTCCCCCTACAATATAAATAAATCACTTCGGCCCCAGCTCTTCTCCTGTGACTCAGCTCCAACTTCTGTTTGCCTCCCAACACTTGATACCTGAGCCCTGCTCTGTGGTTACCACCTCTTCCCGCATCCGTTACCTCTTAAGCCTGCAACCAACTTCCCACCCCTTCGGTCTCCTGGACTCCCCCTGAAATCTTTGAAATGGCTGTGTGCTTTCCTCTTAAAGCTTCTGCCTTCATCACCCACTTCCTTTTTGTTTTATTTAAAAAGTGGGGGGAAGGGGAGAGATCTTGCATCTGCTGGTTCATTCCCCAAATGGTCGTAACAACCAGGACTGGGCCAAGCCAGAGCCAAGAACCTGGAGCTCAATCTGGTCTCCCACAAGGGTGACAGGGACTCAAGTATTTGAGCCATCATCAGCTCATTTCCAGACATACTAGCAGGGAGCTGGGTTAGCAGCCAGAGTAGCAAGGACTTGAACCCACGCACTCCAGTGTGGGATGTGGGTGCTTTTAGCAGTGACTTACATGCTGTGCCAAACATCAGCCCCCTCCTAGACTGCATTTCTTATGGCCCCATGTTATCAGGTCAGGTAACCCGTTTGGTCCTGAGCGGAGAGAATTCTGGGAGCTTTCCTTGGGGGGAGGGCTGGGACCACCTGGAAAGTTATCAGGATCAGGGCAGGACTTTGACCTGCAAAATGCTGGGCTTCTGGAGCTTCCACAGTAGGTGCTGGTCTGCAGGTCCTTCTTGCACACACAGAGGCTTATTTTTTAACTTCTTGCCTAACAGGAGCAGCTGAAGGCTGTGAGGCAGTGCGGCTGGGCCTGGTGGAGCCTGGTGGAGAGTTACAAGGTGAGGGCAGGAAAGAGCGGGGAGCAGACTGTGCTGGGCCTGGTTGGGCCCCTTGAGGAATTTGGCCTCAGTGCTCCTTGGGGCAGGGGGTATTACAAGGTCTTGAACAGGAAGAGGGCAATGTTTGACTTACGTGTTGGAAAGCTATCACAGGGGCTGGGGAATTGAGAATTCTTTGTTTGCTGAGTCAACTGAATTAATGAGGATTCTGCTTTAGTCAAGAGGACATAACCTGCCTGCAGGCTGGCTAAAGGAGAAACAAAACTGTGCTGTCAAAATCGGCTTCAGGAATGTCTGGAGCAAGGTATTTAAATGGTGTCATGAATCTGTCGCTTGCCACCGCTGGGCCCTGCTCTCTTCTGTGCCAGCGTTATTCTGAAGCCAGTGAAGGGACGCGTTCTACAGACAAGCTTCCCAGGGTCAGTTTAAGGAGAACGCCTCTTTCCCGACACTTGCAGCGGAAGCTCTGGGCTGCTGTCCCCTTAGTCAGAACTGGGTCAGCTGCCTAAACTTGTCTTTGTGACTGATTGCTCGGACCTGAATCAGGTGCTCACCTTTGGAATGAAAAGGGGGATTTTTTATTTATTTATTTTTATTTTGAAATATATACATGAAGCGTGTGTGGTTTAAAGAATAAAATAGCTGCACTGTTTAAAGAATAATCCAGTGAGCGCTCATGTTCCCAGCTCCCGGATTCTGACAGTGAGTGTTTTGGATGCCGGCTCTGTGCCTGGGGTCGAAAGGGTGGTCTCCAAAGCAGGATCAGTGCTGTCTGCACAAGGAGGCACCCACGGCTCCTACACACCCGCCCCCACCTTGTTCTGCTCTGTTGTTTTCTGATTTCACTGCTTCTCACTCGCATTCATGAAAATCCACAGACTTTCAACTTACTGTCTTCTCAAATCATGTCCTCAGAACAGAGGACTTAACCGTTCGCACGGCTGATCTGAAACGGTCAGTCGCTACCTTCCTGTCTCTGATCACTTCCACCTCTTTTTTCAAGGTCAGCCCCCCCCCCATGGCCACACCCTTGCAGGTAATACCTGGAACTGTTCTAGCTCTGAAATAATGCCATTAGATATCATCTGTTTAAAAAGAAAATTTTGTTGTGTAAATTTAAGTTATACACCAAGATGTTTTGGGAACCTATAGATAGTAAAATGGTTACTATGGTGAAGCAACTTAGCATATCTGTCATCTCACATGGTTACCCTTTTTTGGTTTTTGGTGGCAAAAGCAGCTTAAAACTAGTCATTTAGCATGTGTCTCATATACAGTGCAGTGTTACCACCTGCAGTCATAGTGTTGTGTGTTGGAGCTTTAGAGTTCTTTGTCCTGTGTGCCTGCTACTTTGTATCCTCCTCCCCACCTCTGGCAGCCACTGTTTTTATTTTCTAGCTCTGTATGTACATAATCTGCATTCTTTTTGCGATTCCAGGTATAAATGAGATCTTGGGGTATTTCCTTTTCTGTGCTGCCTGGCTTACTTCACTCGGCATCCTGGCTGCTCTGGGCTCATCTACACTGTAGCAGATGGCAGGATGTTCTCCG